CCCTACTCTGGCTGTGGTATGCGCCTCTACACTTGGTCTAAACCTTGAGTCAAGAACCAGGACTCCTAGTACCTACCTCAAGGCAGGGCAGGGCCCCAATCCCCCCAACCTCCTTGGACCCAGCACCTGAGGGAATGTCGATGCTGGCAATGGGCACAGTGAGTCCATTCAGGACACTCAGGATGCTGCGGAATGGCTCCCGAACATCACCCTTGAAGCTGAAGCCAAAGATGGCATCTACCACCAGCTCGTATAGTTCATCAATCAGCGTGGGCTGTGGTAGAGCAGAAAAAGGAAAGGATGTCAGAGCTGGCAGCTGCACAAAGAACCCTTAACAGGAGAGGGCTGTCCTTTGTACCCACAGCCCATTCACATAGGCACAAATATAATTTTATCTCATTCAGATGGCATTCTGAGGCCTAGAGTTAAGTGCAAGTGGGTCACTGATTGAGGCCAAGCTGAGTCCAGTCACATTTTCTGTTCTGAGTGCCTGCCAACCATTGGGGAGGCTACAGTGTAGGACAGCCTGAGACTTGGAGTCAGGAGGGACAGGTTCTGGTCTTGGCTCTGCCCTGATCTGGTTCTGTGACTTTGCACAAATCACTTCCCTTCACTTGCATCTCAGTCTCTTCATCTGTAAAACGTGTTAAGGAATTTTAAAAAGAAGTTCTCATGTTTTCCACTCCTAAATCCAAGATCTGAAGCATCTGAAGAAAGGGTTTAGGATGAGGCAGTCACTTCAGCTCCCAAGAGATGCAGGTGATGTGTTTACTGCAAGCTAGGCGAAGAGGAACTGGCTGCAGAGTTACAGGAGTGGGGCTTCCCTGGTGGCACAGTGGTTAAGAATCCCCCTGCCAATGCAGGGGACACGGGTTCGAGCCCTGGTCTGGGAAGATCCCACATGCCGTGGAGCAACTAAGCCCGCTCCCCACAACTACTGAGCCTGCGCTCTAGAGTCCAGGAGCCACAACTACTGAAGCCCGTGTGCCTAGAACCCGTGCTCTGCAACAAGAGAAGCCCGCTCACCGCAATGCAGAGTAGCGAAGAAACCGCACACGGCAGCGAAGACCCAATGCAGCCAAAAATGAATGAATGAATGAATGAATTTTTTAAAAGTGACGAGGGGAAATTAAGGGGAAATGAAGCTGAAGAGAAGGTAGTGTTGGGAACTCATGGAGCACGCCTCATGGAGAAGGCTCTTACACCACTTCCATTCAGATAGCATGCTTTAGGCATCTTCTGTGTCAGGCACTACCCCTGCCCTCTAAGAGTTAATCCTCTAGAGAGGAAGATAAGCAAATGAGCTCAGTCTGGAAAGGTGAGGGAAGAGAACACAGGCAGCAGTATTGAGGAGGGCAGTGAACTGGAACCACCTACCTCTGGGGGCATTTCACCAAGGAAAGGGATGTCCATTTTCTGGCACTGGGTCACCAGTGCAGTGAAGAGTGGCTTGTTAGGCCTTTTAGGATAATAGATGGTTGGCTGGTAGCCCTATGAGAAAAGGAAAGGGGTGAGTCAAGCCCAGGTCCTGGAAACCTCATACTCTCCCCGACAGCCCTTCCCCACATACTCACAAAGAGTTTGAGGTGTCGAGCACAGACCAGGCCATCTCCTCCATTATTCCCGGGGCCACAGATGACCAGGACAGTAGGGGGGCTCCTGGACAAGGACGTGGGGGGATATGCCTGAAGGCAGAGTCAAAGGGGATTCAGAAGGGCTTTGGGCAGTGACAGCCCAGTCTCGGCCTGGCCGTCCCTCCCACTTCATTGTGCCTAGGCCAGGTGGCTTGCACAGTGACTGCCCCTTAGGTGGAGAGTTGTGCCACTGACCTTGGCAATGGCTGTGGCACAGCTCAGCCCGGCCAGCTCCATAAGTTGGTCCACGCTGAACTGGTACTCGTTAAACAGCTCCTGGTCCACGGCCTGGGCCTCCTCCTGGCTGAGGAAACCCACAGCTTGAGTCCCCGCCCCTCAGGTGTTCCGTCGCGCAGGCGGCGCGGCCCAGGTCCCGCCCCTGAGGGGGGCTTCCACCCAAGTCCCGCTCCCAGCGTGCCCGCCCAGAGAGCACGTGCCCGTCCAACCTCAGGTACTTCACTGCTGAGCTTGCCATGACCTCTGAGTCCCCGCGGCCACCCGAGATCAGCCGCTGCGGCCCCCACCAGGTGGCTGCCGCACGACAGGCGCCGGCCTGGACTCTGAGGAGCGATAGGCGCGGGCCCGCAACCAGCAGCCCGAGCCCCAGGAGCGCCCGCAGCCCGGACATTCAGCTCTCAGAGCGCGCCGCCCCGCCCCGCCGCCCCCGGCGCATGCGCGGCCCCTCGTCCCGACCCCGAGAGGGCGGGGCCGCGCGCGCCCCTGAAGGAAGTGGTCCTGGGGCTGGCGGGACCGGTAGTGGGACTCCACCGCTCCTCCGCGTGTTGGTAATGCGAGCCAGCGCCCTCCTGCCCCGGCCCCACCTCGTCCGGGCGCCTTGTCTAGATGCCAGCCCTTCGCGGGAGCATTTTCATATTGCCTCACAGATGACTGGAAGTGCTTTGCTTCCAACCGCCCTTTGATAATTCTTGTTTTTCGTAGGTCTTTCAGGAAGCTGTATAGCATAGCAGTTAGCCCGGGTTCCCCCCCTACCACTTAGTGGCTGGGTGAACTTGGCTCTCCAGGTTTCAGTCTCCTGTCTATAAAATGGGGATACGAATACATACTTCATCGGGTGGTAATCCATGCAAAGTTGTCGACAGCGCCTGGTACACAGGGCTCAATAAATTAATGTTCTTATTCACACTGCTAAGCATTTCATATAACTTAGGACCCCTCTCCCCACCAAATTAGCTTCCCCTATCTCTGTTTACCAGGAGAGCACGCTGTACTTCCCTGATCATACGTAATACTTATCCATCTTCATCGGGTAATAGCTGTGGAAATAGAAAATTATAAACCTTTAATAGGTTGAGTATGCCGAGATTAAAAATGTAGTTGAAACCCTAGACTCCAGGTCACGATAATATTTCAAGAAAAACCTGGAGAGGAAAACTAAACTTGTAACCCAAGAGCTTTTAAGAATGCAAACACACTCCTGCCGGGTTAAGAGAGAAGTATGGTGAATAACAGACGAGTTACATTAAGGCATTAAGATAAAGATAATTATCCAGGTGGAATGAAGGTCTTGGGTTTTTGTGTTTGTTTGTTTTTTCCGTTTTCCTTTATGGTTTATTACAGGATTGAAGGTCTTGTTTTTATGCTAGTATATTCTTTTTCTGTATCGTGAATTCCATTCCCGGCTAGTTCACTGAGAAAACAAGAACCCCTTCTGCTTTTAACTACTCCTCTGATAGTCTCCTTTTTAATTATAAGAGGTTTAACATCTCCTATGGGTTGTACCCTTGGCCTTCATCTATGTTTGTTTTACATGTTTGTTGTGGGAAATTGAATGTATCAGACTGTGATTGCGGTGGAAAATTGTTTTTGTTAGACTTTGTTTGTGGTTTACTCATAGAGTTTACTCATCTAAATTGAAAGGTAGGGTTTACATTACAATTGGATAATCTTATTCAAGACCTCATTAACTTTGTTTTATAACTTCACCGGTATATAAGTAGTTTCACTTTTATATATTAGTCAAGACTCCCTACAGGCCTACTTGAGAAAATTAATTTGGTAATTCTGAAGATTCATTTCCAAAACACAATGTGAAGCATGCTTCTCTGACATAGATAACATTTTGAGTTTATGTGCCCAGTGCTGACATGAATCATCTCATTTCATCCTCACAAACTCTGTTATTATCCCCATTTTACAGATGAGAAAACTGAGGCTCAAAGATGTTGAATGACATGTCCAATGATACAGTGATAGCTGTCAGTGGAGCTAGGATCCAAGCAGCTTGACCTAGAATATGTAGTCTTTTTTTTTTTAAGGGCTGCTGTGTATGCAGTGCTCTTCAGTGTTTTTATTTTTATTTATTTTTTTAATTAATGAACTTATTTATTTTGGGCTGCGTTGGGTCTTCGTTGCTGTGCGTGGGCTTTCTCTAGCTGCGGCGAGCGGGGACTACTCTTCCTTGCGGTGCACGGGCTTCTCATTGAATTGGCTTCTCTTGTTGCAGAGCATGGGCTCTAGGTGCACAGGCTTCAGTAGTTGTGGCGCATGGGCTCAGTAGTTGTGGCTCGTGGGCTCTAGAGCACAGGCTCAGTAGTTGTGACGCACAGGCTTAGTTGTTCCGCGGCAGGCATGTGGGATCTTCCCGGACCCTGGCTCGAACCTGTGTCCCCTGCATTGGCAGGCGGATTCTTAACCACTGCGCCAGCAGGGGAGCCCCTAGGGTATGTAGTCTTAAGCATTATTCTATGCTGAAATGCCTCTCCAAATGCAGAACTATGTAACTAAAGGGTTGTCAATTGCTGACTTCATTCTGATGAGATGTAACTCTAAAATTATGACACACACACTCACAATTTATGAAACAGCCAAATGAGGGCTATCCTCAGGAAGGCAGTGCCCAAGTGCCCTAGTCCACCTTGCTGCCTTTCAGATTCTGGAGTTTTCTTTGGGAAATGCCTTCAAAACCAGTTCAAGAAGGGCATGTGGATTGAGCACCTACTGAGTTCCAGATGCTTTACATATATTATCTAATTTAATCCTGTCCATCCTATGATGTATTTTTATCCTCATGTTAGAGATGAGAAATTGAGTAGCAGAGAGAAGTCAAGTAATTTTCCTAAGATAATATAGCTATGAAATGGTAGAACCAATGATGGTTGATATTGGGTTGGCCTGACCCAGTAGCAATACTCTCGTGTGACAGATGCTGCTACTTGTCCCTCAAAATCCATTCTTCTCTATTTAAAGGCAATGTTATATTGGTTTTTGTTACAGTCAGTGAATTTGCATCCCAGTCAAGACATCTTGAATGCCTGACAAGATAATAAGCTCCATTTAGATAAGGAAGATTAACAGTTGTGTCCCCTGCACCTAGTTCTGTGCCTGGAACATAGTAGGTCTCTACAAATATTTTAATGCATCCTCAAAATTTCATTGTGAAGTAATTCACAGTACAGTACATGCTTTTATCTGACATGACTGGGAGTAGGTGATCTTATTTCAACTTAAAACAAAAAATACAGGGAATTCACCAGCGGTCCAGTGGTTAGGACTCCACGCTTTCCCTGCCGAGGACCAGGGTTCAATCCCTGGTGGGGGAACTAAGATCCCACAAGCCGCATGGCATGGCCAAAAACCCCCATTCATTTGCTATCTGTCAAAGTGTGACCAGGATCTTTTCTCTGAGGATAGGGCCAAAGATTGTAGTTCTCCATCTTCTTTATCTCATAAACTTCACCACTTACATATCACCTGCAATTTGCAGTCTGTGTCCTTAAGGTGGAAAAAAATTAATTGTATATTTGAAGCAAACTGAGTGCAAAATTCATCTAGATTTTTATGATCTTCCCCGAATTTGTAAGTCTCTCTGCTTACATCTAATTCAACAGCAGTTTTTAAGGTGACTCACCTGAATCACGTCTTCTAAGGATTCAATTTAGTTTTCATAGAAACTGCTTATTTTCACACTCTTAGTTTATCAATTTAATTAAATTACATATTACAATAGCACAACTGGAATAAACACATTTGGTATCAAATACAACCAACTCGGTAAGCAATGGCTTAACTGGGGGAGTAGAACTGACTGCACAGCATTCTAGAAGGTATTCACTGCCTAGGTTTGAATCGCAGCTTCACTTACTAGTTGTGTGACCTGGGTGGCAAACCAGTTAACTTTTGTGCCTTGTTTTCCTCATCTGTGAAAGGGGATTCATCTGCTGTGAGGATTAAAGGAGAAGACACTTGTGAAGCACTTAGAACAGTGTGTGGCATGTGCTAAGTGATCAGTGTTACATAATACTGTTGTTGCAGCTGCTGGCAGCAGTTTTGCTACAGGCCTGAGGGGCCTGCATCCAGGATCTGCTATGTTTCTTGGAGGAAGACGAATGCATCCATTGGTTGGTTAAGGCGTATCTTCGGTAGCATTAGATCACCATTTCCCATGTGAGAAAATGGAGTCAGTGACTCCAAAGCCTCTTAACCAAGATGTCATAGTTTTAAGAACTGGCAGGGGCCTTAGCAATTGTGAGGTTTGAATCCAGAAGGAAAGGGGGGAAATTCACCATCCGTTTTCCATTTTTCTTTTGCTTATTGAGTCCAAAAATCCCAACGAGGAGCACACAGACCGCCTCAGTGCTGAGACTGCAAAGCCTTTGTCCAGCCTGATCCGGATCCCACTTTCTGACATTGTATTCTGTGTCCATACAGTGCTCACTGGGAATGACTGGGAAGGGGCTCAGCCCCAGAAGCCCCTGAAGTGTGTATGTTGAGGAGGTACTGCAGGGGCCATGCTGTGGCCAGCAGGGGAGGGTCACATGATCATGCACAAGCCAGACTCAGTGGATCTCCTCTGAGGGTTCCTGCCGGGGGTTTCCCTGGGCTGTCTGGATGACCTGAAGGAGGCAGAGAGGGGCTTGCCAATGGGAGTGACTAGGGAGCGAACAGAAGGCAGCTTGCCCTTGCTCCCGTTTCTGTTACCCGCTCTGGCCCTTACCTCTGCTCGCAGGCTCCAGGGCAGGAGGGAGTAGGCTTAAGCCGCCTGTCCTCCAGTTCAGCAGGACTCTCCCGTTCGCTGAGGGCTACACTCAGGCTGTGCAGGAGGCAGGGGACACCCTGGGCCCCCAGAGCTGGGTGAGGGTTGTTCAGATTGCTAAAGGGCAAAGACAAAGAGGCTCAAAGCACCATATCCCTAAGCACCAGACCACATCTTCCCCCAACTTCATGTTCCATTAAAGTCATCCAAAGCCACATCCTCTCCTACTTCTTTCATCAATTCTCCAGGCCTCTTCCCTTCCCGCAGGCACCCACCTCTTGCTGTGGGGGCCGTTGGTGACCAGAAGGCCAGGATTCTCCACTCTGAGGGGGCCTTGGCCTCCAAATGAGAGATTGGCCCTGGGTCTTGGACCTGAAGGGGGAGGACCAAACACATTCATCACAGGCCTCTCTGCACCAAGAACCATCACGGTGGGAACGAGACATCTTTGGGAGAAGAACAAGGAGGGTGGGTATCAGGGGATGTATTGGTCACTGTACACAGAGGAGACACCTGTACAGGGCAGGTGCTTGGCAAACCTGGGCCGACTAAAGTTGGGGATGATTCACCAACACTCAGGCGTGCAGGAGGCAGGGGACACCCTGGGCCCCCAGAGCTGGGTGAGGGTTGTTCAGATTGCTAAAGGGCAAAGACAAAGAGGCTCAAAGCACCATATCCCTAAGCACCAGACCACATCTTCCCCCAACTTCATGTTCCATTAAAGTCATCCAAAGCCACATCCTCTCCTACTTCTTTCATCAATTCTCCAGGCCTCTTCCCTTCCCGCAGGCACCCACCTCTTGCTGTGGGGGCCGTTGGTGACCAGAAGGCCAGGATTCTCCACTCTGAGGGGGCCTTGGCCTCCAAATGAGAGATTGGCCCTGGGTCTTGGACCTGAAGGGGGAGGACCAAACACATTCATCACAGGCCTCTCTGCACCAAGAACCATCACGGTGGGAACGAGACATCTTTGGGAGAAGAACAAGGAGGGTGGGTATCAGGGGATGTATTGGTCACTGTACACAGAGGAGACACCTGTACAGGGCAGGTGCTTGGCAAACCTGGGCCGACTAAAGTTGGGGATGATTCACCAGTGTCACTGATGCCTCGAAGAAAACACGCTGAAAAGAAGATATCAGTGAATTCAAGTCACCAAGTAGCAAGGAACTCTGTCCTCAGAGTGCCAAGCCTTTGGGGGAAGAGACTAGTAAACAGTAAGCTAAGGTGAGAAAAGCATCCAGTGCCTGGCATATGTAGTAGGTGTGAAAGCCTTGGTGCCCTAAGATACAAAGTTCCAGATGTTAGGAAAGCCTCAGAAGCAGGGAGGAAGAGGCAATTCAGGAAAGGGTTTAGGGGAAATGGGCCAGGGCCTTGAAAGACAAGCAGAAAGTGGGGAGGGCTGGTCCTGGGGTTGGGAATATAATGTGTGTGGGGTGCGGCCTCAGTATCAGACCTGAGGCAGGAAAGTGACAGAATGGGGGGTGGGGATAAAGGAAATGAGAGTCTCCCATTTGGGGGAAGGCGATGCACAGCGGGAAACAGCCTACTTAGACTTACGCTCCAGTCTTGGTGCCCAAGACGTCGTGAGAACATTCGCCGACTCTTCCTCTTTCCCCTCGTGGCCCTCCTCTAACTCATCTTCCCACCTATCGGAAGATCTGTAGGGGCAGGGAACAGGGGGCAGAGTGGCACTCCAGCCAGATCCCTGCCTCCCCAGATCCCACCGGCCACTGCCAGGCTATGACACCTCCCAACACCCTCCAGAGGCCATACCCACACCTGAAGCTCTGTTCCTGCCTGCCCTACTCACTCACCTGTGCCGCACTCCTGCTGTGCCTTTTCCCACCCTGGCTGGGGTCCCCACCATGGGGCAGGCCCCACCTGGAGCCTGGGGCCCCCCTGGAGCTGAGGTCTGGGAATGAAGGGGAGTAAAGGGAATCAGTTTGAGAAAAATGGCCATCCCAGCTGTGGTTGTGGTGTGCATGTATGTTCTCTCCACACACAATGGCCCCAGAGGGACAGAGAAGTGCTAGAGACAGCTGGGCTGTGCCTTGTGTCTGAGGATGAAATTACAGGGCCCTTTGTTGTGTTAAGGTCTCTGCTAGTAACTCTCAAGTTAGAACTCGGGCTTATTGACTATCAGAACTGGCCAGAGCTTAATGACCACCTCATCCTGCCTGGGGCCTCCGGGACAAAGTCACACAAAGTCGGTGGCCAACTTCAGATGGAACCCAGGTCTTCTGACCCCCAATCCAGTCCTCTGCTTATACCAGGCTAATTTAATTTTACTTGCAAATTATAAATATGGTGTCCTAGTCTTTCAAATAAGAGAGAACATAAAACCTAGTAAATAAATATAACGAATAGTAAAGTATAATTTCAATTCCTGGCGTAGGAGGTTGCCTGAGAAATCTCAGAGTGTGAGGGAGGAGGCAACTGGAGAGACACTGACCTGTTGAGAGAGGCTGGGAGGTAGCGAGAGGGGGAGGAGGGGTCAGAGAAGGAGGGGCACAGCTAGAGACCCACAGAGAAATGCCCCCCAGCGAAGGAGGGAGGGGAGAGAGGAACGTCCTTGGAGCACTACTCCCATCCTGTGGCCCTTTGGGGAACTGCAGTCAAGGACAAACCTTTCCACCTGCTCACAGATTTTTTGCTCAGTATCTTTGAAGGCACCCCTTGGCTTTCACCCACTGAGCTAGTTACCACTCAGCCAAGGCCCTGGCACAGCCCTACTGTTGGAGACGTGCCACAATCCCCCGCCCACCTCCCCACCCCCAGGTGGCCTCTGGAAAGTGATATATGTCCCATATGCAGGCCCCAGGGCAGATGAACACAGATGAGCAGCCAAGTGCAGCAGCAGCCCTGAGGATATCAGCTCTGCTCACCACCACCCCTTTTTCTGGGTAACCTCTCCTCACCCCCCGCTCCTTGTCTCAGGTGTCATCTCACCAGGGTGTGGGTCGGCAGCAGCCCACCCCGGGCCAAGTGGGTCCTTATGGCGTCTGTCAGCTTGGCTACCAGCCGCTCTCGCACAGAATCTGGCTCCTTCTGGGGCGAGAGTGGATAATGGAGTAATGGAGGAAGCCTGGGCTTTGTGGTCCTCTGGGGATCGGGGAAGAAAGAAACAGCAAAGGGGGAGGGAAGGGGACTTTGTCTCCCCTCTTTTCTAGCCCATCCCCATGCCTTTGCCAGGGTCCTGCCACCGCCTGCCCAGAATTGTGGACAGAGATGGACTCTTCCTCTCAAGAGTGTCCCAGGACCTAGCACACAATGTGCTCAATGCACGTTGGACGAGTGAATGGTGGGGAGAAGGCAGGAATATCAGCCAGAGAAAGGATAGCAGGAGAGCAGCTGGAGGGATATTGGGGAAGAGTTAGATTCCGGGATGGAGGGTCTCACCTGACACCGGGCCAGCGCTTCCTTATAGTACCTCAAAGCCTGGTCATGTTGCCCCAGTCTGGCTGCAGCAGCCCCCAGACCCTCACAGGCCTGCCATTGCCCCTTCACGTCCCCTGGGGAAGACAGCCTGAGAGGTCCTCCCACAGCTCCCTACCCCTCCAGAGGTACTCCCCACCCCAAGTCCCCCTATCTGCCTCCCCACCAGCCCCAAGGATCCTCAGCCTTTGTCCCACCCCAAGCCACCTGTAAACCCCCTCACCCTCACCAGTGTCCCGGGCAGCCTGCAGAGCATGTAGATAGTTGTCTCTGGCAGCCTTGTGGTCTCCCAGCTGGCTCAGTGCAAATGCCAGGCTTCCAAAGCTCCGGCCCTGCTCCCACCGCTGCCCCATAGAGCCTGGTGACAGAGGAGCCCGCCCCATATTAAGAGAGGACTTTGGCTGCTGGGGCATCAGGACCCTACCCCCAAAGACAAAGGGAGGGTTGCTAGGAGTCCTTGTGCTCAACCCTGGCACACCTCCAGATGCACCACAGAGGCCTGAACGCTTGAAACCCAGCCTCTCCTCAGTCCTGAGCTTTGGCCTGAATGCCTCCCCCATGCTAGTTTGAGCCACGTATAAATCCAGGGAGTCAGGCAAGGCACGTATTAATAGCTCCATTTTTATACATGTAGTACCTGAAGCTCAGAAAGCAAAAATGACTCGCTTAATGTCACACAATCATTTAGAGGAAGCACTGGCTCCACTTCAGGCCTCCTCTACCAGCCAGGGCTCTTCCCTCTGCCCATTGTTGCCTTCCCAACCCCAGGCCTCAGCCTCTGGGCCCATGACCCTCTGTCCTGTCTGGCTATCCCATCTTCTGCACCCCCTGCACACCCTCACTCCCCTGTTCTGGACTTCCCAGTCCCATAATTAGTTCTAAACGTCCATCTACTCTTCAGCCCCTGCGCCCTAGCTGGAACCCCTTCTTAGTCCCTTGGCCCCAATCCCATTCCCCAGCCCCTGGTACCCACCGTGCGTGTCGGCAGCCTTCTGGTGAAACTCCCGGGCTTCCTGATAGTTGCCGAGGGCATTGTGGGCCATCCCAAGGTTTCTTAGCACCGTGGCCTCCTCTCCTGGCCCCCGGCACAGGGGCAGGGCTTGCCGGAAGGCCTCTGCTGCTAGCGGGAACAGCTGGAGCTGGGAATAGCCCACGCCTAGGTCGTTATAGAGTCGCCCTAGAGGGCATGGCCAAGGTCAGTGGTAGCCAGGTCAGATGCAGATGAAGCTGTACTGCTGCAGCCTCTGCCCCACTCTCCCAGGGTTCCCCCAGGCCTCAGAAATGCCTCTGCTTCCACCCCACTTCTCAGAGTATCACCAAGTCTTAATCTCCCCAGATCCCGCACCTCCTCTGCCCAAAGGCCTCACCCAGCAGTCCTCGCTCAGTGCTCCTCTCAGCAAGCCTCCGGCTCTCCTCCAGCACCTGCACCACATCACCCACCCCATGCTGCCCACTCTTCAGCATACAGCCCGCTGCAGCCCCCAGTGCCAGGGCTGCAGCCCTGGGCTGCCCTGCTTGGGCGTAGGCCCGGCTCGCTTCCTGCAGGCAGTGAGCTGCTAGCTCAGGCTGTCCCAGAGCCTGGTAGCAGGCTCCCATTTTTGCCTGGGCTTGCCCCTGGTCACCTATTGGCTGGTAGTGGCCCAGGGCCTTGTGATACCAGGCCAAAGCCTGAGGCAGGTCGCCCAGGGCGTGGTAAGCCAAAGCCACGTTGAAACACTGGTCGCCATGACACCCGCCCTGGGCTGTCTCTTGAGGTTGAGCTCGTAGGAGCAGCTCAAGCCCTCTGGCTGGGTCCCCAGTCTCCACGTAGGCAGCCCCCAGGTTGAAGGCACAGGCCCGGAGAACAGGGGTGTCCCTGGTTTGTGGTGACTTGGAAGCCAGGAGGAAGGCCCTCTGGAAGCTGGTCAAGGCCTCGTGATTCTGACCAGCCAATAGGGCCCTGTGGCCAGCCCTGGTGAGGGCTTGGATGCTGGCCTCTTGCCGTGACCACTTTCTTTTCTTCTTTTTCTTCTTGGAACTTGAAGGTGAGGGCGAGGGCTCTTGCGGGGTATCCTCAGTGTTGAGGGAAGACATAGTGCTGACGATAGGGAGCAGAGGGGTCAGTATGTCATCCTTGGCTTCCTCCAAAGCACTATCCCTCTAGGCAATTCAGCTCTACCTCTGCCCTGGTGTGACCCTCAGGGTGCAAAGGATTTCTCTCTGCCATCTCACTTGGCTTCATCTAACCCGTTGAACACCGTATTAACTCTCACTCTAATGTCCAGACTAGTTTTTCGTCCTCCAAGACTCACTTCAAGCTTCCTTCAGAAAGCCCCTCCCCTCAACCAGCTGGGTCCCTTTTCTGTACTCCCATAGCACCTTATGTCCTTTACGGCATTTATCACACTGGGTTTAGGGTCATTGACTTCCTTGTCTATCTCCCCTACTGGATTTGGAGCAACTTGAAGGGTCTGGCACATAGATTCTCAACATATGCTTATTGAATGAGATGAAAAAGTTTTATAGATCATTAGATTATTATTATTATATATATAGATTTTACCACAATAAAAAAGGTTTATTGAATGAATAAATGAATGGATGAACAAACAGAGCACATACAGGGCCTCTTCTCCACCATCTCCTTCACCCTGTGCCTCCAAAGACATCCACTCATATCTAGGTTCTCCTGCTGTCTAATCTCAAGGTATAGTTCAAGTCAGCTCACCAAACAGTGAGCTCCTGCTGTGTGCCAGGAGCCACACAAAGCACTGGTGGCACAAAGCTGCATAGGCCATGGAATTGGCAAGGAGCCAACTTCCAGGGGCAGGGCTACTGTCTCTCCATTTACTGCTTACTCCCTAACTCAAGGGGAACCTCTTTCTCCCCTACCTCCTTGGCTTTCTGTCTGCTTGCTAGTTTCAGTCCCCCAGCATCCTGCTCTGGTCTCCAGGGTACTCTTAAACCCAAATACATTTCTCTCATCAGCATGTGTTTCCCATTAGTATCTCTCCCCCAGGAAGGCAAAGCCTTTTCATGAACTCTCCTTCCAAGAGGCAGGAAAAGGAGCGGAAAAGATCCAGTAGCTGAGCTCTCAGCCCCTCCCATTTGCTTCTTCTTCTCCCCTTTTTTTTTTCTTTAGGAGAAGCAGGCAGAGGTGATACATTTTCTTTTTAAAGAAACTCCCCCTGCTCCTAAGAACAGCCAGGAATCCTGTCTCTTTGAGACCTGCATTCCTGAGGCATTCAT